CCCCCCCTTTCCCTTTTGTTTAGTGAGTATACAGTGCTCAGCCAAGCAATTTAGCCCAGCAGCTGTTTCTTTGTGCTGATTGAACATATTGACCGCTCAGTCTGTGTAAGACTCCCGTCAGCCGTCATACTTAAATTTTCAAATTGACATGTGGTGGAGTCCTTCACTTAGGAGGTGAATTATAATGTACTCAGGGGCGGCTCATGGGGCTAAAAAGTGGGCGTGCACATTTAATTAAGCTATCACAAGCTGAAGATATCCAAGAGCATTGTATGGGATGGTGTATAATTTTAGGATCTTTGGGTTGGTGAGGGAGGACCTCGTGCTTTTATTTTCATTCCTTTTACTTGTCACTTTGATTTCTAGAACTAAATCTGTTAGTTAGCTAGCTAAACATCAATTTAGTTCATCTTGCGTTAGAACTGAACACTCTAGTACCCGGTAATAACTTTCACCACTCCACAACAAAACCATTCAAAGACACAGCTTTCATAGGATGGTGACTTGAGTATGTCACGTTCACCTCTCTCAGGTTCACGGTCACAGAGTCACTTAAAATAGCCTAGTGGCAAGACAATGAACCAATCAGAATTCACTTGAGCACTGCTAAATTGCTCCGGGGCTCACATAATTTCGACACAGAATAGTGTACAGTCTATGGCGTTTATTTTTAGACTGCCTACTGTGGGCTATGTTTCGGCACTATTCGGCAGGAGCACATTTGAGATGTGCCGACTTATTAATATTAATGTACCGCCAAACTCGCTACGAGTGTCATCATCGCTTGGGTTGTCCCAAAGAGCAATTTATAGGTCAGGTTATCACTGTTGAATCTCCTATTAATTACGTTTAGTTAAAGCGCGTGGGCTTTGTTTTATGGCGCTATAGATAGAAATGACAGTAACGGCGCCAGCAAGGACCTTGGTTTGAAATAATATTTGACTAGTATTTTTGTTTCTGGCGTCTTTTATTTTATTATTGAGGGTGCTTTACGTAAAAAAACAATAAAAAATTTTGGGCAGCACTGCACGACTGTGCTCTATGGACGAACTGCGCCTGAATGTACTATAAATCATTCTGAGGCTGGGTATGTGAAAAACTTTTGTAGCAAATGACTGCTATGAGCAGCTTGTGAGTCAGATAATCTCGAAAATGACTCATTGTGGCAGTGATGGTCAGAAACTCTATCATCATCAATGCCTTCCACCCCTGGCCGGGTATAGGCCACATACAAGCTTCTTCCATTCTGTCCTGGGCCATCCTTTCAAGCTCGTTCCAAGTGAGCTTCATCTCTCTCATGTCCCTTTCCACTCATCTCCTCCATGTTTCCCGTGGCATACCCCTACCTCGTGCTCCCTGTGGGTTCCATTGCAGCGACTGTCTTGTGATATTTCCTCTGTGCTTTCTGATGGTGTGTCCCATCCATAGCCACTTTCTTAGTCCTATTTCTACTTCTATATCCTTTTGTCCTGTCCTTTCCCACAGTGCTTCGGCACTTCATTTCTTATTCTACCCTGCCACTTAATTCTTGGGAAACTCCTCTTACATTTGGAACTGTTATGGACAGTTTAAAAATTAAAAATAGATTTATATAAGTGGCCGTTAGTACAGGTGATCTTCAAGGCAGGTTCAACTGTATGGGAAAATCCCCAAAGTCATCGCAGATTGCAACAACCACAGTTCACTGTGTTTCCTTTTCCTGTAAGTTATTACATAGTTGGGACTTTGTGGTGACCCTGGATGTTATGCTCTATAGTTTAAATTATTTATGGGGGAGGG